GATCTAAAAAACAGGCCACAACTTAAATACAAACCCAATTGCAAGAAAGAAAATACAGTAAAAAAAACTCAAAAAAGAGTCAGCTCATAATTACCTCATTTATTTCCGCCCCCCCCCCTCCCCCCCAACCCAATCTAATCCAAGCCAAATCTTTGAGCTAAATGCTAAAAGTTAAACCCAAGCCAAATTCCCCCCAAGATTTAGCTCACATGTGCGTGGACTCGCCCAATCTTGGCCCGGTCATGCGCTCAACTCGCCCCACGTGGGCTGAAGCTTTCAGCACCCGACAGGGTGGGACCCACTGTCAGCCACAATCATGAGCCCAACGGTTCTTTTGTTCATCTGCCGACTGACATTTTTGGACCGTTGGTTGATCAACGGTCCAGATTCAATTTTTTTTTTTAAATGTTATTTTAAAATACATTGAATCCAACGGTTGAGATCGAATATAATCAAATCTAACGGTAAAAAAAAAGATTTAATGACCCAAATTTAAATCCAACTGCTAAAATAATTTAAAAAAATATATTTAACTCAAAATTCACCAAAAAACTCTATACATACCTATGTATTTGTTCAAACTGTGGGAGAGGAAGAGGTCAGCTTTGCATTCCCCGTAGAGCACACATTAGCTAGCATCCGAAATGCAGATGTGTGAGCTTCTAATGAGGTGATAGACTTTGTCGGCCTACGGCATCTATCTTTCTTGCAAAGTAGTGGTCGTGATTGACAACTGCGTTCAAGATGCTTTCAAAAAGCTCTCTCCTCATCCGAAACCGTCTCCGAAAATCATGAGCAGGAAATCTTGGACGCTCGATGAAATAATCTTTCATCATTCGGTCATGACACTCTTCTCTATTACGCTGCACAAATGAATGTCTCATGATAGAACCACGATAGCTAGATTAGGCATGGTGCTCATATTGCATAAGGGAGTTTGCAAGTTCAGCTTCTACGTTGATCATTTCTGCATCCTCAATGTCAAGGCTTGCTTGGTATTGTGTTATCTATATTGCCCTGCTATGTCTTCTTCTATCACTCATTGATAAGATATTGAGGATTTTTAGGAAACAAAAACACTTTGAAAATTGAAAGATTGGTGAATATAGAGGATGATTAAAGGTTGAAAGATTGTGTGATCAACTGATATCACTGTTCTAAAAAACGCCCTAGGCAGCGCCTTGGAACCGAGACGATTTTGTGCAAAACGGCTAGAAAAATTGAGGTGACTTTAGGCGGCTAAGTGGTTTTTTTTTTTTTTTTGAAATTTTTTGAAATTTTTTTAATGTCTAAGTTCTAATTATACCTTGAAATTTTGTTAATTTTATAGAATAGGTGTGTTGTGTATCAACTTAAATTCCGGGATGCTAAAGATAAGTATCTTACATTACTAAATTTCCTTATTTTCCTCCTATTTTCCATTTTATGTTGTTTTAAATTGTGAACTTGTTGTACATGTGTCATCCTACAATACTCCTCAATATGGTTATATGGCATATATGCTTAATGTGTTTTTAAATTTTGGACTTGTTGGATACTCTTTTTGCATTTCATCATTCTTTTATTATCTTATCCATGGATTTCATACAAGTATAATCTTTTGTAAGTGTCAATATGCACCTATTTACAAGATATACAAGAAATTTACCTAAATCCGCCTAGCCGCCTAGATGCATAGGCGCTAAGCGCTAGCCTGCCACCCGACTAGCGCCTAACGTTTTTTAGAACCTTGACTGATATTCAATTTGTGTTTATATAAAGGATGATTGAAGGTTTCAGTTTCATGTGCGTAGGTTTATGTTTCATGCGTTTCATATGTTTTGTATGTATTTTGTATGTGTTTCGTGTGTGTCATGTGTTTCACATATGTTCTGTGTGTGTTTCATCTCTATCATGTGTTTTGTATGTGTTTCACATGTGTTATATGTGTCTTGTGTGTTTTATGTAATTTGTGTTCATCTCTATCATGATTTTCATATTCTTCCATAGTGTTTCATGAGTTTCATGTATCGATTTAGTGATTTTTCAATATTTATCGGAATTTAAATATTTTTAGATTAAAATGTTCATAAAATTAATTTGTGATAGTCTACATAATTTTTTTTTTTAAAGTAAATTTAAGAAAAAAAAATTAGCCTAAGTTCATTTTTTAATAATCCCGGGCTAAAATTTTAGGCCAGAATGATTAGAGCAGAAAAGTTGTTTCTGGGCTAAAAGCCAAATTTTTTAGCTAAAAACTATATTTTCCAGGCTAAAAAATTTGGTTTTTAGCCCAAAGGTTGGAGATGGTCTTAGGGACTTCTACCACCACCTTTGAGTACTCATTTAAGGAAGGGAATCTTTGTGTCCCTAAAGGAATATTGCCTCAAATGGGAGAGTCCTTATAGTAGAATCCCTAAATTTGAGGTTTTTACAATTTTATGTGATAATTTGATTAGGTGCACATTTTTGTTTATGTTAACATTATGTTCTCGTAACATATTTTTGTGAATATTTTAACCAAAAAAAATTCAAATTCTAACACTAATTTTTTTCTTCACAAAAACGTAACTAGAATGAGTGAATTGAGTACGAGTGAACTGAGTATCTGAGATGAAGTTGTGGTAAGTTTTGGTTAGATAATTTGGTATTTATAGGAATGATGAGAGAACAAAATGAAAGAGTAACCCAAATTGAAAATATTAATATTTCAACAAAAGCATTATGAAAAGAGAAAACAAAAGAATTTGAAAACTAACATAAGAGAGTAACCTAAATTGAAACGGTTTTTTTAATTGGAACTGTTAATCTTTCAATGGTAAAAAAATTTGAAAAGCAAGAATCAATTTGAACCTTTCCATTTTAAACGGTTGAAAAGAAAAGAAAAAAAGACAATGCCATGTGACTAGGACCCATGCCTGTTTTTTTACTTAAATTGTCCTATTAGGTCCACCATTTCAGTCCATATAGAGTCCCTAAATATGGGTACATACACCAAGTATCCGGCAAGTTCCTATACTTTAGGGACTCACTTTCCGATCCATTGGAGATTCATTTTGTCCCTATATTTATTTTATACTCATTTTATACGGTGGTTGTCCCTATATAGGGACTCAACTGGAGATGCTCTAAATTTGGAGAGGAAACAGCAGCGTCTAACAAGTTAGTTCCACCACGATCGCAAGGCTACCACAACCAAGAGAACAAACCAACAAAACAATTGCATCAACGGAATATGGGGGTGAGCAAGCCACTTGCGCATTGAGTGCTCCCATGATCTTACCAAATAGTCCTAAAAACACTTAAACAACACACAACACCAAAGTGCGCTACTGAAGAGAGGCCTTCGATAGGTTAAGTAGCAGAGGTTGATTGTTGAAGACTTATGACATCACTGACATGAAATGACAACTGAGTAAGAAAGAGACATGAAAGCCCAGACTTGAGACAAACTCATAAAATTAAGACAAAAACTCAGACGAGGGCACCAAATCAAGGGCCAAAGCCAAAAAGAGAAGATAAATAAAGACTATAACGACAAAAGACTAAAAGGAACATGAAAAGTTGGCACAAGGCCCCGAAATCTTAGAGACGATCATGTTCTCAGCTCCTAAGTGTGTAGTCTTAAGATCCTACTCTCTTGAATGATGATTATCAAACGGCCCCTTAACGTCTTTGAGTGGATTGATTGACAAATCAATTTGGAAGGAACATTCTAGTTTAATAGGATTTGTGATCTTTAAAAATCCCAAACACCAACGTCCGAAACTCCAAGCAAGCAAGGGAGGCTACTACATGAGGACCTCAAAATGAGATTCATCCTTAAAAATCTCATATTCTTTTGTTGTGATCAAGACCTAGTGCCACCATGAACACGCTGGTGTGGTGGGTGTGGAGCAGTCTTGTCATTTTTCTTTTTTTGTTGGTGGGAGTGGTGTGTTCGTATTTCAGGGTAATTTAGTGAAAAGTGTGTTGTTTTTGTAAAAATTTAAAATTCAAAATTTTAATGAGGTGTAGATTGAAATTGGAGTGAACTCAAAAAAGAAAGGTGGTGGTGTTTAATTTATTTTTTTATTTTTTTTAACCGACGATAGAATAATCTACATTAAACTCATCAAAACTATAAAAAGGGTGATTCAAATAGAAAAACTTGGGTTCAAATACAAATGTTCTTAATCGAGTGAGCTACAAATCACTTCCTGTTGTGGTGTTTAAATAGAAAAACGTTATAAAAAGACCTAGATGTAGTTTGTTTATATCCATTTGATTCGATGATTATTTTACGTTCTCCTATTCCTTTTAGGAAAATCCACTCCCATTTTCCTATTGGGATTAGGAAATTCCTAGACCGCCGTAAAATGAAAGCACATCCAATCCTAATCCTCAATTATAAATACAGACTTTTCCCTTCCATTAATTACGTTACAAGCTACAATTCCTATCTCTTTCCGCATTCGATCACTCTTTCAAGTAGGAGTTGCTTAGAAAGCAAGTTAGGGTTTCCAAGTTAGAATTCTACAACTTTGGGATCGGAAAGATGGCTTCTCTAGTTATGCGTCCTGCAAAGGCGGAGCAATTCGACTTCCTTCAACTCAGGCAGCAACTGAAAGAAAGCATTCGCATGAAGAAATCAGAAGGCTCTGCTGTTGCTCATGGCTGCTCGGTTAATAGTACTACTGATGATAACAAGAAGAAATTGACTTTCGACAACTTTGGATCCTTCTTTGGCCCCTCGGAGCGTGTCATGGCCAAGAGAGCGCACGAAGAGATGAAGGATTTCATGCCGGAGTTGAAAAAGTTGGCGTCTAGGGTTCTGAACTCCGGTGACAAGGCTAAAACCGCTGCAAATAGCCCTGTTATTAGCACAGCATTGAAGTGTAAAAACCTCAAGGAGTCCCGGGATTACTCCTTTTTGCAATCGGACGGTGCACAAAGAAGGAGAGCCTGAAGAAGTTGGCAAAACCAAACACACCTCGGCAAAGTCAGAACCTTCTTCAACAAATCAATGTAGCACGAAACCAATGCCGAAACAGAAAAAATCTGTCTCGAAACATCCCATCAATTATCGCCTGAAGGAGGAGCGTCCAGAGGATGTCATTGGCAAAGCCTCCTCGACAAAGTCAGAATATTCTTCGACAAAGCAGGGCTTGAGGCAAACAGGCTTGAAGCAAACAAAGCAATCTGTTGAGCCGAAAAGTACAGCAAAACCAATGCCAAAACCGAAAAAATCCATTTCGAAGAATCAGGTCAAAGACCGTGTGAGGGGGGAAGCAATCAGTTGATGTTTCTTCTGTGATCCAGGAGATATTCGGACACAATCACAAGCGCCCTAGGGCAGACGATGATGGTGATGATCTTGCGATGGTGTCCAGTTTCGATAACATACTGAAGGAAGAAGGGCAGAGTGCAAAAATTGCTATGGAGGAAGACGAAAAAGAGTGGTTGCTGCTCGAACATGAGAAGCAAGAAGCAAGGTTAAGAGCAGCTAAGAAGCTGAAGATTAAGACCAAATTTTCCAAAAGCTGATGTTGCATTTTCTGTTGCATTTTCTGATTGGAGATATAATTAGGGAATACCAAAAAATGTTTTAAAATTACTAATTAGATTTGCTAAACTTGTTTTAACAAAAATAGAAAGGGATGAACTGTGCCATGAAAAATGATTAAATTTGGTGGAATTTTAAGGTACAACGGATACATCAAGAAAAATACATGTACAAGGATAACTTGTCAATCAAATAAATAGGTCGAAATTTGTTGCACCTTTCAAGTGAAGAAAATCTAGACCTATAACTCTTGCGTTGTAGCTTGAAATCAATCTTATAATTCACGAGCATTTTCCTGCCGCCTTGAGAGAGTACATTTTGGTTAACAGCACTTGATTCATTGTCGTTTTACCAGACTATCGTCGCATTCTTTATCTATTTTCCCATTCTCATCAGCGCTTTCGTTCTTTCGCTTACTGTCTTCAGACTTGAACGTCCAACCGAGAAACTGAGTCTCTGAGTCTGAGAACAGAGAGGTCGGAGCTGCTTCGTAGTATGCTAGTGGAGCCGACTTTATTCTTCGTCTCACCTGCAATATAGAGTCAATGCAGTGAACTAACATGCCTCGGAATGAAACCATCAAAGGCATACCAACAGTAGCTTTCTACAACTTAACTTCTTGGGATGCAAGTACCAGTTTCCACTATATTTTTTTACTTTTAACGAAAAATTTCAGGAATGCATAAATTCTAATATATACTCGAGGAATTCCAAGACAAGGTAACAAACCTGCTCTCCAAATATTGTCGCATATGAACCTGAGCTAAAATCTCCAACTGATATCTCAGTAGTTTTGGCTCTAACTGTCAAATTATTCTCGAGTGACAAAACAAACCTAAGAGCAAAGAAATAGATATCAGGAAAAGTCAAAAGGTATAAATGACCATACAATAATCACACATGATCAGGACTCGACCATGAACCTTGAAACAGCAGGGCAGTAGTAGTGATGGAGGGTATCAATCTCCCACAGTGAACGTCCTGTTCAAAAAGAGATGAACAAGTAAAAGTTATTTTATAAGTGAAGCTGAAAAATTGAAAAGATTTGGTATGAGGTAATCACATTTGGGGGGAAATAAATACTTACTCATGGCATTTGATTTCATAGAATCAGTTTGTTCATTATCAAAAGGATCAATGCCTGATTTTTTTATTGACTTATCTGCCGAACCAGTTACAGTGCCATCCGCGCCATCAGCAACCCTCTGTTCTGCTTCTGGATCATCTTTCACAGTTTCACCGCCACCTCCCTGCACAAACATCAATCTCCTCATATACATGAATGAAACAAGAAAAACAAATATAATACTCACTAATTCAGATCAAGAGGATGGTAAATTCATTGACAAAGAAACAATTAAAGATTGTTGTCATACCCGATTCACCAAGCAATTGATTGAAGGATGTCTCCGTAGAAGATTATGAACCAGCGCAATAATAACTTACGCTCCAGACGGAGGAACTGAAATTCACAGCCTACTCAATTTCTTGGCAAAAGCCGCAGCCAAATATGCAGGAAGAAGTGGCGATTTTAAGCAAGCATCTACAAGCTGCAAATCAAATAGAACAATTGTAAATTAACCAATTCGTTCAATCTGAATATTCAAAACCAATTAGTCCTATATGGCTTGTGTTATAGAAGTTTAACTTTAGACCAACTGTTACTGCAGTAATGATTAGTATTACCTGAAAAAACTTCGATGGATGTTTTGCCAGAAAAATAGAGGGAACCAGTAATGCATAAAGTTTCCCATAGAAGTTGGGGTACTCTAAACCATGTTGCGTCATGAGGATGAAAAGACTGCTAAGAGCCATGACGCTGATAACACCACCAATGTCATACGATATAGTTAAGAAGTCGCTGCACATTGTAAATATTTGAGATGTCATATGATTTTATAGAGAAGTCACAGCATGCTGTCAAGAAATGAACTACAATCAAAGTCACAAAAGACAAACTGAAAACATAAATAAAACACATTTCGGAAGTAAATTTACCATAACAAGACAGGGTTAGCTAGAAAAGGAATGACTGCCTTATGGAGTGTAGCAAGAACCTGAGCATCAAAACACAGCCTGGTCAGAAAATAGTAGAGAATAAAAGCAGAAAACTATCACTGCAAGGTAAACGTATTTAACAGACAAACTAGAGGAAAATAACATTTAGTCTTTTTGCTAGAGGCTCAAGAGGCAGAAGTCACAAAACCAAAGCGCATGAGAAGTGCAGTACCATAAAGCAGATACTGCCTCTACATACTAGAACAGCTTTCCAGATAAAGAAAACAAGTATAATTCTAATTAGAGTTGAGATGTGAAGAGCTTCAGATACAAGGGGAGAGAACTAATGGAGTAGCGCGTATGAGTCTTACCTCCTTGTACACATCAACTGGAAGTGGTAACCTTAGAAATGATAACCATGCTTTGGTAAATTTTAATTTCATCTTTTTGGCAATATTGGCTGCAGACAACACCTGAAGACATTGTGAATCATTAGGAATCTAAAATTTTAATATCATAAGAAAAGTATAGATGAGAACTTAGTGAAGGGAATACACAATTAATTTTGATAGTTGAATTGACACATCTAGATTACCTTATCCTTATGCTTCTCAGTCTTGTGCTGTTTACCATCTGCTTTCAGATTCCCAGAAAGGTCTTCATATTCACCTTTATACAAAAATCTCATCGATAAAAGAAGAAAACTTAAAAGCTCAAATGATCACAAAAGTAAAAGATGAAATACAATAGGAAACAGGGAAGAAACTAGTGCTCATAGTTATCACTTATCACCATGTTAACTAGTATGAAATTCAGACAAGGCATGCAGATACTCTAAAAAAGTAAAAAAAAATAAAAAATAAAAAAAAATGCTAAGCAATCATACAGGAAAACCACACATTCACTCACATACATCACTGTGTACTTGTATGGTGAAACTATGAGAATAGTCTATTAGAAGAACCGTCTTGAAGCAGAAATGGCAGTAAATTGTCAGGACTTGAAGAAACTTTTCTCTCATGCCATCATTTAATCACGGAAACATACAAAAAAAGAAAAGAAAGATAACACTTCCTTCCAATGTTTATGGAAATAATTATCCATGTATTACTCACTCATTCCACTACTTATACAGTCAAATGAACTGAAAATAGCATCTTTACATTTCATTAAGTTAAATAAGAATGTTGGGCAATAATCATGTTGGAGCCCATAGCAAGGATTGACTAACTGATGCATACTCTATTTTCCGTTTCGGTAGGTGATTAACTTATCCATCATCATTAACAAAGTCCTCCACCAAAAGAAAAAGTATTAAAAGGAAGCAAAGTATGAGTTCAACTGCTTAATTACTGAGTGAGAAGGCAGGGAACACTAACCTGATCCACTCCAGATCTCATGATCAGTTTTATCAACTGAGCTTTCCAGAGAGGGGATGTGTGATATCAAATAATGAATCTTGTGAATTAATTGATCCATGCTGCAAGTAAATAATTTTAGCCATCAAAAGCTAATAAGTTAACACATCAACATATTAAAGAATCCAACACGTATGCATGCTAAACATAAATTCATTGACTCAATCACAAAATAAAAGAATAGCACAGATGAAAATGGACTTTGAGTCAAAGAAGAATCCAATATTACATAGAGGCATACAAAGATCCAAGTAACGTAAAAGTAAAATGTTTAATTCCAAGAAATCTTGATCTGAAACCAAAACATCTACACATATTGTCAACAATCTGCATATGCAGAATGTAACAATAACTTCAACACTTGCCATTATGTCCGACTCAATCAGATCACAGAAGGCAACACATTCTATATTAGGGTCATGTACATCTCTTAACAAGAGAAGTTCAATGAGAGAATAAGAGAACAGAAATTTCCTAAGCGATAGCATTATACTAACCTTTCAATAGGATGCTCCCCATCTTTACCGTCTGTCTTGACGTTTTTATCCTCTAAGAGGGAGATAGAAATCAACAAACCAACTAAGATAACTAATCAACAAACCAACTAAGTTAACTAATCAACAAACCAACTAAGTTAACTATAACATTGCCACTACCCTCACTCGAAAAGATGAAAAACATAAGTTTTTGTAAGAAACACAGCAGAAAGTACCAGAAATCCCATTTGCATCCAGAACTTTGGAAAGCTTTTCCAAGCTAATGTAGGTAAAATAACTGCAAGAAATAGATGCAACAATTACAACACTTTTTAAGTGGCCAGTACCACAAATTTCCACAATAAAGGTTCCAACAAATAATAGAAGTTCCTAAGAAATATCATAATTCCTAAAATTAACGGAATGTGATCTTACCGGATGAGAGCAAGTCTAACAACAAATCAACTGCTGACGAGTGTAAACCTATCAGCGATAACAAAAAAATTATAACTTACTATTGAAATTACAACAGAGAAATATGAAAAATAAAACTCAAACTAAGCTTTTGGAGAATCAATACAACTTACAATACTACGAAGCAGTCTATGGTACATTGCAGAGTGAACCTTTCCGCCATTTCCGAACTTCACAAATTCCATTATCGTGTCCAACACCACCTCCTAATCACATTCAGAGAATCGAATTCTAAAATTGAAATCATACTTGTACAAAAACAAAAGAGAAAAGAACTGACATTCAAAAAATCAAAAAGCGACCTTGAGAGTTTCATCAGATTGGGTAGAAAGCAGGACTTCGACGAGGGCCTCAACGAGCTCGTCGAACTTGGAGCGGGGCCAGGTCCGGTATATGAAGTCGGGGTCGTCGTGGGAGCCATCGGAGGCGGAGGGCTTGGAGGAGGAGGGAGGGAGGTCGGGGAGGAGAGGGGTGAAGAATGACTGGAGAGAGAGGAGGGACTCGACGATGTACTGAGGCGGCGAGGCCGGGGAAACGAAGGAGAGGAGCTTGGGGAGGTTGTTGATGTGGGCCCGAGAGGAGAGGAGCTCGTTCCCTAGGGTTTTGAGGTCGGAA